GTATGATTTGAGGATATGTCCAAAAACGGCACAAACTTTAGGACCCACCTAATATGCCCTTAACGCTGCACTTTTTCAGCAAAAATGCAGCTCGAAATTAGAGCTGACTTCTTGCTTACCAACGAATTTCCTTTTTAAAATGTTTGCATAAAATCTGCAGATATTAGTGCTTTTATCGCCACTGCTAGACCTGCTTTCAGGGTTGGTATCGATTTTACAAAACTACAAACAAGTTCTCAACAACGGAAATAGCTCTCGCTTTCCTAGCCAGCTTCGAGAAACCTGCCACTTTCAACTTCTTATTTTTTCCCACACAAATACTTTGATGACGTCCTTTTTGATGCACTTCCGCTACTAGTTTACTTCTACAAAATAAGCTAAATAAGAGGTATAGCAATTCGAATGAGAATGAATTTTTGAGACCTTTCTTTCATTTATTCTTTTGTGCGCGTTTCTAATACCAGTGCAGGTTAGTTGGAGCTTCATGACCATTTTTGGAAAGCCACACTTCAATCCCTCTGACAGTGGGTACATCTTCACTTTTTTGCTATGCAAGGGTTAGAAGAGTTCCACAGACTATTTAGTGTATATGTGCTTGCTACACTGCACAAATATTTGATCTAAAAACAAAAAGTCCCGAAAACCTTTTGATAGGCCAAAAATAGCATTGCGAATGCTGGAGAGTGTTTTGCTCTTGCATCGTTCTCACGTTTCAAAAGCGAACGTATTTTTTATGTCTGTGGCATCACGCGTAAACAATTTTCTTCTCTGAACAGCCGGCCATTGTTTACTGGATCTGAGAAAATTGGGAGGAGAAAAAATAGCGCTTTGATGCCTATTCCACATGGTGTTGTTCAGTGGGAATTTCACTTTTTGTTCGGTACAGAAAGATTGAAATTTTCGATCGATAGTTTTGCAAAAAAATTTGTAACGTTCGGCTTGCATGTGAAAGTGTGTGTATGTATGTGTGCGTGGCTTGAATGCGTGATCGACGACCTTTCTCGTTTGAGCACGGAATTATCAATGCTGCAAAACAACATAGACTACGACAGACGGGGAGTGTGTCGGGTGGGGGAGAAAAAACGAACAAAGGAAGTGATGAAGCCGAATGATATACAAGTACATGGACGCAGGCGCGTAGAGAACGCGCTGACGAATTACGGTAATCGGCTCTCTTTGTTACGGGGGGGGGGGGGGAGAGAAGGGGAGAGGGGAGCGGGTGATCAATGCTTTAGCAGTACATACAACACAACACAGCCATGGAACGGGTCTTTGTAACATACTGCTGAGTAATCGAAGTAGTGGAGTAGTCCTTTAAATGTGTAAATGGAGCGCGGAGTTTCCATAGTCCACGCTTTCTTGTCAACGGCAAAGTTATGAAAGGTTTAGTACATTTGGAGGAACCATCTATCACCCGTATCACTTAGCAGACAGTATCTCTCAGACTAGGAGGTCCTGCTCTGATCCAAAAAAGTTTTTTCCCGCCCTACCCCACCCAAATCTCCCTTTCTTGTTACATCGCTGTTGTCTTGCACTTTCGCTCTACAGAAATAACTAGGAAGCAGCGAATTTGCACTTGCCCCCCCCCCTCTTCGGCCAAAGGGCACTTTCTGCAAGATATTCGTGTAATCTGTCGGAACAGAGGTTACTCGGCCGAACTAGCAGCCTGACTTGCACAGCAGCATCGATTTTATGTCGAAAAAAAGTTATAGAAACTTTTGAAAGAATTTTTATGGTTTCACTGTTGTTCAGGACATGAACAAAGAACACCACAGATATATGCTAAGAACTCAAGGTATTTGTTTACCACGGTTCAAGTGGACGAGTTGCACTGTCTAAGTGGTCTGGACCTATAAATCAAACAACTCATGGAACAGACAAACTCATTACTCAGCAGTTGCCTGCGACGAATTCAAAATGTGGGAAAAGTCGTCGCTACAGTAAACTTCGTAAAAAATCAAAGAGCAGAAAAAAAATGAGACAAAAACTCAACAATCAATGCATTTCTTTGCACAGTTCCTATGAGGAAACCGTGGGTAAATGCGCAGATATTAGCATTTCTGTTACGGAGTAAGGAAGTTAAAATGAGATTTTCAGAAGTTCTCTTATGATCGAAAAAACCTGATTTTGTGGAGTTTTCTCTAGTAGACCACTTGCTTTGTGTGATTCCGAATACGGTAGCCTTCTATGATGATCCACCAAAATCCTCATTTTTTGTGACTAATTGGGCCTGATCAATAAAGCAATAATTTAAGGAGAAACGGTACTAGTAAGCACACTCAGTTTTTGGCGCATTCATCTCCATTAAAGTTAATTTTTAAGCTATTTTTGAAAGGACGTCAGCACTACGGTAAAAAATTACCGCCGCTGCGCAGGCGGTGCGATCTTGACGACCCTAGATTCACGCAAAATTTTAGAAGAGCAGAATTCAGGAGAGGAGAACCGTGAGGCGATGTCGGCGATGACAAGACCAAAATCCTCGTCGTCCACCATCACACGCACAACTTGTGAACTAAAAATAAAAACATCGTTGTTTGTGTGCCTGTGCGAGCTCGTCCAGCACGGGCGGCAGCGGCATGCGCAATGTGTACGAGTTTACCCTCACATCCCCCATAGCGCTGTACATAGCTTGAGCGCGTGCCGCAGCGCAGTGTAGCGGTGCATTTGCGTACGTCAACGCGTTGCCGACCCCTCAGTTCATGCGATTTGTCGTCGTTCGTGTGGTATATGTGTGCTGCCTGCGTGTGCGTGGCTCGAGGGGGGGGGGGCTGGAGCGAGAATAGTATAGCGGGACGTCATATGTGGACTATGTACGCAGTCGCCTAGACGTTCTAGAGTGTTCGGGAGGATTCAAGAGCTGCTGTACGAGACTACGTCGACACCGACGTGCCAGAGACGCAGCGTTGTTTTTCACTTGCGTCGTCACCCCCGAGGGTGGCCGATGGCAAAAACAACTCACCCCCCCCCCGTTCTTTGCTACTACTACCCAGGAACACCGACACGCCCCATCACATGTCTGCGATGGCTTCACTGCATGAAAAATACACTTTGCAGACTAGTCACTCTTAAAAGCCGAGAACGACGGCGCTGACGTAGCGGCGCGAACATTGACGCGGACGAGTTACCCAGGAGTGGGAAGTGCTTTTTAGCGACTTCCGCATGTTTAATCCGTGTTAGACTAGCGTAATACTAGCCACGCTTGAGACAAGTGTAGTTTTCATGAGTCAGATCACTCATCATAAAAAGCCAATTTTTATGACGCATGACTGTAAAACTCCGAGTGTTGGCATTCTCGCTCAAAGACAAACGATTCATATTAAACACTCGATGTGTGGAGCATTGGGATGTTAGTTCTATTGCTCTATGAAAGCTGACTCACTGTGCCCATAAAATAGATTTACAAATTTAGTGTGCAATTTTAGGCGAGTTTCTACATAATTTTTAGATGTATTCCTCTTGCTATGCAAATCTCCGAAGAAGTGGACAAAAGCTGAAAAATATGAGCAGCACATTTTTGTAAAGAAACTGAATAATTCCAAGTTAGTTTATCTCAATTTGTTTCTTTGTAAATATGAAATTTTCGAATGATTGTCACAAGCAGAACAACTTCACAGCCTCTCTTGTTGAATTTCGAACTTATAGAGTAGATGGCTCCTTTGATGCACGGTGTCAGGGGAAAGTTCAGTGGACGATTTTCCTGTGCGGCAGTGGCGGTCGGATTTCCGTCTGGGAGGGACGAAAAAATTTTCCAGATGAAGGTGCGAGGCCTTAGCCATACACTCCGAAATATCTTTTGAGGTGTTTCTCAAAACGCGGATCCACAACCTCTAAAATGGCAGCCACGCCCCGAAAATGGGGTAATTTGAAATCTCAAAAAATTTCAAATCTTTAAAATTATCTACAAGAAGGAACCAGTCACTTGCACATTTTTATAGATTCAAATTGTAAAATCTCCACATGTAATCACTGACGCCTTTAATGTAAATGAGTTTAAAAATATCGCCACCCATTCTCGGGGGGGGGGGAGGGGGGCATCATTTATGTTTCATCGATGTACCTAAAAAGGAACTTAAAATGGACTAGCACAACTCTTACGCTTTGTACTGTTCTTTCTTTGCACAAAGATTTTCCGAAGTGAAAATACGGTAGTACGAACGCTTTCTGTGCAATTACACACTATCCAGGATTTCGGTAATGGGGTGCAGCTTCCGGAAAAATCTGCACATGTAATCACTGACGCATCTTAAAACACAGTTGTCTAAACAACGAAAAAAAACGAAAAACCCCACGAAGAAAAATTCCTGGCCTTCTTTGGCTCAGCCTGCAAATTGTGCAATTGCACTTTTTGGAGAGGAACCTTCACGACTTGAAATGTACGTACCTACTCGAAACAGAGTTTCAATTTTCGACCTCAGTCATTGTAGACGACATCATTTGTACACTTGTAATGAGCCAATCTAAATTTTCTTCAGTTTTTTACATTGAATTTGAAACATTTTTGCTACTTTCTGCAATTTTCATATCATGAAAACTCGACCATTTTCTATGTACTTGCTCCCAACATTTTTTGTCACCCCAATTTTTCAATGTTTATTTTGTCTTTCATCAACATAAAAGATGCTTTTGAGAAACAATGAACAGATGTGAAAAACGAGTAACATTGTACATACAGGTGATAAGACATCTTCACTGATCGAAGAATAACAGGGATATTTGCATGTCATATAGGCTGTAAGCGAATGGGTTACTGTAGCGGTACGGTACATATGACTATTCTCTTCGCATACGAACCTTCTTCAAAGGGGTGAAAAAGAACGAGAGATTTGCTAAGCGGAATCAAGTGTGCGACCATATTGTAGAAGCCATGCTAACTACGCAAAAATTAATTTTTGTCAGGGGGGGGGGAGAAGGGGTCGAACTCCTAATTTCTGCACGCTAGGCATATCCGGTTTGCTACACACCAAACACTCAACTTCCAATTATCAGAATCATTTATTATACGGTCAGGATCTACAACAACAAGGATTTGCGCAATGAAAACACACAATTTCACGCAAAACTACAGATTTGCGCTGGATTTGACGCAAAATCTGAAAATTTTGTGTTCAATCTTGCAGCATATCCCTCGACTTTTATGTTTCATTATGATACATAACATATATAGTAATCTTCTAACAAAGCGAGATAGAACAGATAAACGAAAAAAGAAACTGGGAAGTGGTGCGGGCTTTATATGTACAAGAAAATGCATCTACCTGGCGGCGGCGGCGGTGTTTGGATGTGTGGGTTTAGAGCGGGGGGTGAGAGAAGAGCGGGGGCGCGAGTCGCGCCGGGTTTGAGAGCGAGTCAGCGAGAGTGAATAGAATTGAAGAGGAGAGGGGGCGATTGCATACCCGGCTGCTGGCGATCAGCAAGATATCATCACAATAGCAACAACTGCGAGGTAGCCCATTATTATCCGAAAACATCGTACAAAGAAGAGAGAGGAAAAAGATGAAAACAAAAAAACATAATCAACTCAAATAATAGAAATCTTCAACGACTCGTTTGTGTGGGAGGATGAGGAGGTGGATTTGTCAGCATGGGGAGAAGTGGGGGGACGCGTACGCGAAAAAAATAACAGGGCCGAAAAAAAACATGCACACATTGATGGGACAAGAACAAATCGGACAATTCTCATGTACAAGAAACCGCGGAGACTCGTACGCACGCGCGCCTATGCGGCGCGTGGCGCGAGCGGCCAGAAGAAGTAAAACGACGAAAGAATTAAGGAATATAACACATCGTACATATGCGCACACTGAAATGAAAAATCTTCGAAGGCAAAACACATCAATTTGGAAGTGTGTGTATGTCAAGGTGAATTCATTCGGGGCGTATTTCGGGGGTTCGATTTATACCACAGACAACTAGCACAAAGAACAATGAGGGGGACGAGTTCTCGCCGCAGTACGGGGCCTAACGAACACGCGACGCGACGCGGGTGCACGGCACTCAGAGATTGTCGAAATTCAGGCGGTGATCGGTGGTTTGCGAAAGTTCGTGTCGTAATAGTGATTCGACTTCGAAATCCATTAACGGCTGATCGGGCAGTGTGAGACTTTCGAGATCCGACGGCAACGCAGCCGCTGCGCTCACGGAATTCGCTTGCGCAACCGCAGCGCATGATGACGGCGGTAGCAACGAAGTGTGTGTTGGCCACGGCGAGTACGTCTGGTACGGGAGTGGAAGTCTGAAAATGGTCTTGAATTATTTGTAAAAGTGTAAATGTTTGGAGTTTTCTTTGAGCAAAGGTTCCAAATAATAAGCGCAGAGAAGTCATTCCGATTGCAAAAAGACAAAACTGCCCCCTGACGCGTCGCAAGTAGCGCCGCAAAAGTTGCGACGCGTCAGGCCGAGTTCCGTGTAAGAATAAACAACGCCTAGCTAAATTTAATTATCTCCAAATTTTTGGACGAAGTGAGTATTTTGAGTATCTTTGCAAAAAAAGTACAGCGTGCAGCTGCAATGCGGCTGTACTAAGTTATTTTTAACTATATATTTCTGGTACATAAGAAGGTCAGATGTAGGACAACTGCCATAAATAGACTCACCCAGCACTAGGAAACTTCACGGAAGCCAACTGCGTCCGCAGCAATGGATTTTGAAGCTGTGACTGGTTACGGACACTGCTCAGCTCGAGGTAGGATGGTGGTGGTCCAACGGAGGGTTCCGTCTGAAATAGAGCGCGTTTTTTTCCAACTGCTGACAAATCAGAGACATTTCTCCGCTAGCGGACGCGACCCTTTCCTCAATTTTGCTATACACAGAGAAAAAAAGATCTCCCCGCATTCGTAATCACCCTACCCCCTCCCCTCTCCCTTCCCATGTGCCATGACAAAGAACACGGTAATTAGTCCGAGTTAATTGATATCCTCACAATGTACACGCCCATTCATGCACAATAACAACCAATCGAACAACGAGGACGCCCGAATGCACATGTAGTAAAATACGCAACAATGCACAACGAACCTTAACGGACTTTGGTTCTTGTTTCACACCGTTCATCATCCGACACGAATCGATTCGCATCTGAAGTGGTCGAAAATCAATCAATCGATAACTGAGTGCTGTAGAAAACTAAAACAGAATTACTGTTTTCTAGAGATATTCTATGCTAATCTACTGCTAAGGCGAGGCGCGTTTGTCGCAGGATTACGGTAGTGATGGGTTACTGTAGGGAAAGGTTTCACAATGCAACAAAAGATCGACTACCGATTTACGACAAAGGCTTATGTTGCTTCCTTCTGCAATCACGGTTTTCACAATTTCAAAATGATTTAATAGATACATAGTTCTGAGCAATTTAGAAACGGGAAAAGTGGGGGGGGGGGGGGAGTCGCAGTCATTTTCGCTCTTTTAACTTTTGTGCAGTTACAGACAAGAAAGATTTCCAAATTAGACAAATCCCATCATGATGAATTAGTCAAGCAAAAATTGCATCGTCCTCATTAAAAAACGCAAAAATCGCGTTTTAAAAGTACCCAATTGCAGACAAAATTTGCAAGTTGCAGCCGGCGTAATAATTTGGACCGCGCTCTTGAATGATTGCAACCTACTCAACCCAAATATTTTCTTTCCTCACCTGGTCGGTCCGATCAAGGATATCGGTAGGGATGGGTCCGTTCCCGGAATGATTATTCGCTGCCGCGTTCGCAGCTGCGGCGGTGGCTGCGGTCGCGTCATTCACCCAGCTGGGGAACTCAAAATCGTCGAATGGGTGCTCCATCGAAGGTGAAACCCTTGTCGACGATCCGGGCACAGATAAATTCGACTGGGTTCGGGGACTAAAATATGTTAAAAAAATTTCGACATACAAGTAATGTAAAAAACTAAAATTCTCACCGGAACATGGGTTCAAAAGAGCCTTGCATGGCTTCATCATCACCATAAATGTCATGTGACATGATAGACGTCTGGAAATCGATTACGGTAATGATACGGTAGTCCTACAATAGGGGAAAAGTCCTTACCTGTGAACCAGCCAAGCTAGACACGCCACTATGCAGACCACCTACAGCTCGAATATCGTGGATTCGTTTTCGGGCACCTTTCAGTTTCTTGCTGAGGGTTGCCTGAAAATTTTCAGGGTTAAGAAGACCGGTAGATCAAAATTCCCTCATTTTCCCTTGCAATATTTTACCCTTCAGATCTTGCAAGATCTTCCGCTAGTGTCCGAACCAACGGAAAAAAATGGCTACCACCCGGGGTGCGAACGCTGGCACCCCGCGGTTTTGGACCCGTATTGTTCTATTTCAGCGCTTTCATGAAAGACAGGTGATAAATCAGAGATGCTTCAAAGCTTCGATAATTTCAGCAAATCAAGAAATTCACGGAAAAAAACTAGAAAATATTTCGGAAAAAAGGGAGGTGTACAAGCTATAAAAGTAAACGGTTTACATGTTGCAAAAATTACGCGGAAAATTTGATGAGGCAAACTTTTTAACAAAATTTGAATGTAGTTGCTTAACCCGAATTTTTCACAGCTAGTCCCCAAATTTAGTTCTGAGAAGAAAACCTTGATTATTTTCTTGATGATTTCATTAGCTAGAACATAATCCTGATACTTTTCCATCAAACATTCCAAAACTTTCTTATTCCTTCCCTTTTCATTCTATCATTCCTTGGGAGTCCCCTTTCTTCCTTTCAACATTGGAAACGATTTTTCTCCCCCAAGAAAGCACACACATGTGTTGATCGTCCCCCCAAAGGTTTACACTCAAAATACTTCTAGGCGACACATGTGCTCTACAGCCAACACCTCTCTGGCTTTTTCTTGAAGAGAATGTGGGAACACATGTGTTACCCATTACTTGAGACTTCTCTCCACACTAACAACGACGATCACAAGGTGAGATGGAAAAGGAAACAGGTGTTTGAACAGGGAGTGAGTCATGATACTAAATTTAGTCTTGCGAAAGCAAAAGTGCATGGTTATCATAAGAAGAAGTGATTAACAGTGACCTTTACGAAGAGAATGAAGCATAACAATTGAGACAGAGAACAGTACCACAACTCAGTACAAAATGGTTAAAAAATTTCTGACTCAAAAAGTCAGAAAGTGGAAAAAAAATTTTTGCGCAAAGCACAATTGAAATAGCGATCGATTAGATACAGCCTTTCAAAAACCGCAGAAATGGTGAAAATCAGAGAACAAAAACCTATTTTCTTGTTTTTCCCTCGAATTCACTATGAAACAGGAAATTTGTAGCAACAGGTGACAGAACGTTTTTTTTAGTTTTGAACCACTAAACGAAGGTTTCGGATCAATCGCTAAAGAAGATGATTTTTCAGTTTTTAAACCCCAATGAAATGGGAAATTATGACGCAGTTGATTTTTCAGTTTTTAAACCCCAATGAAATGGGAAATTATGACGCAGTTTAAAGTGTTTTTTCCAGTTTAAAACCTACTATGGAACAGGAAAATTTTATTTGTTTGTAGTTTTACTCGAGAATTTCTAACTACCCCACTTCCAAAATAAATTCCGCAATTAGATGAATTAAAAAATCCCCAATTTTTCATGCGTGAACAGAAATGTCTGATCTGAGGTAAAACCGATAATTTTTTTTGAGAAAAATCAGATTTTACGAACTTTGCTAGTCGTGTCCATTGTCGATGCTCGAACTCGTCGTGGATTTCGTCCGGGTTTTGCATCCGGGTTAATCACCCACCATGATGATTTCCCTGCACCTTCATTTTGTATACGCATAAAACGCGAATGCAATGAGAGGTTGTGTCGAATCGAATTCTGAAAAAAAATCATTTTTTGAAGAAATTTTATCTTATTCCCAACTGTTTCCTTTTTTCACAGATTCCTCATTTTCCACTCTCATTTTTTCATTTTTTCATGTCCCCAACTATACAGTCAGCAATGGCGACTAAAAAGATTCGACGCTCGGGCGTGTGCGCGCTGACCTCTGGTCGTTTCACCCGTTCCGTCGAGGGGCTCTAGCGAACGGGACACGCCCACAAACGCTAGGCCACGCCCATCGCGTTCGCTGTGGGGATGATGAGATAGTTACTGGTAGTACGAAATTGATCGAAAGCCATATATGACTGGATTTTCATAGAAAAGGGAAGTTTGGGGAGGGGGGGGGGAAGGGTATGAAAAGAATTAGAGGAGCAGCATACAGTCGAAATGATAGGAAATGTACAGAGAAATTTTGGCGGAAATTCATAGAATGAATAGATGATGCGCTTTTTTGGAAGAAGTGCAGTAAGGAGGAGGAGAAAAGTGCGCGAAGAAGATGGGTATGGATGAAGTATAAATTACTACGAGGAAAAAAAAGAAAATCGAGAATGAAAAAAGATCTGATCTGATAAGAGATGAGAGATCTGCAACTTTCCTGGATAAAGAACTTCTATCAATCATCATTCTCCCGTCTTCGACTTCCCAGTGATTTATTCATGACTCTATCCATATGGCCGAACCCTTTTTGGCATAACATGTCACCAGATCTTCCCCCCTTCTCCATTACCATCTAATTCCCATTCTTCTCAAGTTTCCAAAGCAAGCGCTCCCGCCGCCGCCGCCAGTCGCTTCAGCTGCCCAGCGCCTGATCTTTGGCTGTGCCACACGCGTCTTGCCCCGAACCCGCTGGTGCCAGCTTTACTAGCACATGCATATACATAGAAAAACGTACACGCCGAGCACCTCGCTAGCCCCCCCCCCCCTCTCCCGTGCGACGGGAACGTTATATTGCTGAATAGACAATGCGCGTGCGTGGCTGGGACGGCGGCGGCGAACGCCGGTGGCAGGCGGCGGGCGACACCGCCGTCGCCACCGCCACCGTCGTCGTCGGCACCGGCGTTCACCACTATGAACAGCGGTGAAGAGGTGGCTGCTTTGATCATTGGCCGAAGCTTTATGAGAAGAATACGTAAAGCTGGAGACAATTTTTGAGACCACGTGTTGGTCTTGAGGCGAAAAAACACTGAGGAATGGGAGAGTAATAGACAACGCAGCGCCTTTTACGAGGTAAAATTGCCCGCACTCTGGTTTTGCCCTCTCATCAATAACTTTTATACAGTAATATAATGCGAATTCTTGCATTCCCCAAATTTTGCATTAAAAAACAGATGATTTACCCGATTAGAGGTAGATGAGGTTGACGCAAAATTTTCAAACCAAAATGAATTTACACAATTTACACAATTTTCATCGCGTCAAAAAACAGTTATTGCTCAACACTTCCATAATTATTCAAAAAATGATTTTGGAGTATACAACATAATAATGGGATAGTTCATTCTTTTCCAAAAAGCAAATCAATTCACAGTCAGAGTTCATTCTTTTCCAAAAAGCAAATCAATTCACAGTCAGTATTCGTTGCTGTACTGAACTGTTCCCAAGAAAGAATTTCTGGCTTGGCGTAAAAAATCAAAATGAGATCATAAAGGCAAGCATCTAAAAAATTCACGTAAAGTATGGAAACTGTTAGATAAGCAAAAATTTTGAAATGTCTTCAAAGTGAGAAATCAAATAATGAGATCTATTTTCCCAGATATAATGTGAAAAATTGATCAGATGTTCTGACCTCGAAACCGTGAAATTTTTGTTCTTGAAAAACTACTCTTGCCCAGTTTCCCTCATTCCAAAACGTGATTCTTACGATTACTACGATGAAATCCAAATTTGTAGATGTTGACATAGCGGCACATACGATTTTGCAAGATTTTTGAAATCAACAATTATAGGCAAGACATACATGACCAAATCAGCTCAGAGCTTGGAAAGCTGCCAAGAGGGTGAGCTCTCTGTTTTTGAGTGAATTTTCAAAAATTCGAGACTGCACAAAAGTGTTTACTTTTCATTTCCATCGCTCTTCTATTTTCTAGCATTTTTCGAAAATTGGAACTTTCTTGAGTGAGTCACCTACTATACAACTCGGCCAGATCTTTGTCTCTAGAGCACATTTCCTCTTCTCATTATCGTCATAGCAGCGTGCTTAGCCGCTAGAGCTTTGCATAGCAACGTGTTCAATGTTCTTCACTTCTCGTATTTCGAAAGGTATGAGCTTAGCGAAAAAGGAAATTGGATCTGAATGCATCGTTTATTGCAAAAGCCTCAGGTCGACGGGTTCCGTTCCCTTCGTCGAAAACAATAACGCGATCCCGGAAACGCGAAAGCGAACGCTATATTTGCTTAGCGTAATGAATGCTATCGGATCCCCATGGCATCTATATTTTTCTGAGTCATATTTTATTTTGTTTTTTGGCTCCATGCCAAGAGTAAAAAAACATTTCGCAACCCCTGCATTATCTCACTACTGATAGGAGGGTTGGCGCGCGAGCGACGGAGGGCAATAGGGCAGAACGACGCGCTGCGGCGACAGTAGGGTGGTTATCTTGACCCGTCGACGATGCGACAGCGGCAGCGAAACAGGCGATGATCGATCGATCGATCATCAATCAGCGCGATCGATTATCGGCTACTTGTTGCGCGTCGTATTCGTCGTCGCTTTCACACATCAACTCAAAGGCGCCCTGACAGCTCTAACCCTCACGGCACTTATGCGCCCCTTACAGTACTTCGCTATCGGCAAGCCATCTGCTTCTTCTGCATGGCTAACCACTAATCGAATCAATACGCATCAATTACACGCGTATGCTGCCGCTACGAACGAACAAACGAAACAAAACCCGTTTTTTACTGCACAGTTAGGCTTAGGGAGCGGGAGGGGGGGGGGGGAGGGGAAGGGGGGAGCGGCAAGCTGTTGGGCGAATCCGGTTTGCGACGACTGATTGGCATGCAAAAGCATTTGAAGCGACGGTAAAGTGACTGGTGCGAACTTTGGGGGGTTAAAAAGTATAACACGGGGTCAGGTACGGGGGATCTGGTGTTCGATGAGGTGCAAAGGGTCCGGTGACGAATTTTGAGGAAGAATTTCGCAAAATGTTGCTTACATTGCATTTACAGCGAATACGAGAAAAGAACAAAAAAAATCCTGCTTCATCGTCGCACTTCTTCCCCCCCCCCTCCCTTCAAAAAATATGGTTCCTAACTTCCTTGAAGTTAATTGTTTTGACGAATCAAATTCATTCAAAACAGATGTTTCGTTTTTGTGTGGACTTCCCATAAAATAAATTCATGACGTCATTCTGGGTACTGTAAATTCGAAATCTACGTTACTACAGAACAGTTATCAGCTTAAACCTCCCCTCTTTCCAAGAATAGTTGAACATTGATCTGCTATGCTTAATGATGCTTATTTGGTAGTGTATATACGAAAGCATGTCTCACAAGCGATCATAGAAAAACCATCATTAGCTGTCAGCTAAGCTAACGAAATCAGCTTAGCTCAGTCTAGCAGGAGGTGAATGCGCTTACGGACAGTTAAGCCTACTCGAAAAGAAGCTGACTGATCTTTAAAGGACAAAGATCGACGATTTTCAGTTCAAAATGTTGGGTAACTTTTGAAATTTGCAATTTCCGGAGCTCTTCGTCAACCTGAGTTAAGCTATTCTTCTCAAAAGACCATTGAAAGACTGAAATTGCAGACGTTGCACTGAGATTGCGTAAAAAACTGACATCCAAGCGAAAAATAAATTTCTAAAGAAGCGCAAACTATCAACCATATATTTTTCCTGCAAATCTTTCCTGCGAAGATAGTCATATTTCCACAAATTTGAAGTATCCGTTCCTCTTTTGCCCGACATCCCGATTGCTGTAGCTGAAAAATCTTCTCCTCCCCCTCCCACCATATTTTCCATATTTTTGAATCAGGCTTTTTCCCATGTGACATTCTGCTAGTGCTAGCGTAGAAAACGAGCCGAGCAGAGCTCGGAGCCTGGCTCGGCGGCCATTAGAGGATTATAACGAATGACCAGCTGATGAGGCTCAGTCGGGGGAGAGAGCGGGGCAAATGAGGACGGAGAAGAGTCAGCGATAGCGTCGGAGGGACCACAAGGTCCTTATGCACTACGGCGTCGTGGCCTGGCGAATGATAACAGAAGGCACTGGGTCGAGGAAGGGGGAAATGGAGAGTTTTGGGGCAAGAAGAACCAGAATTTTTTACGAGAGTGAAAAAACTCAGGAAGGGTCGAGTTAAGAGGAAAAAGGAGACTGATCAGGTTCGAGAAATAACAATTTCTTTGCTGAAAATTACAAAATAATGGAAAAATTCGGTCTGACTTCATATGTCAAAATGTTTCGCAATGAAACGAAGGGATGGGAATATAGAATAGGAAATTGAAAAATCATGAAAAACACAAAAAAAATGAGGAAAATGGATTGGAATTTGGAAGAGAGGATAGGAAGGGCTGTGAGGAACTGGAAAAAATATAGGTGACCGAATAAAACAGTGGACTTTTAGAGATGAAGAGAAAATTTTTTGTGCCAGAGATATTTTTAGTAAGAAAAAGTGAACAAATTTACGAACCTTCCATCCAGCAGCTTCCTCTTGACTAGAACGTTCACGAAAGTAAGGAATATTATCAGAAAACCATTGGTAAATTTCATTCAACTTCAAACGACCATCCGGAGCTGATTCCAACGCCTTCGCAATAATGTCCGAATACGACTCTTCACCCCAAGGATTCGGTTTTTTCTGCGCTAATTGATCGCTAGGCTTCTTTCGGCAGCGTTTCTTCTTCGGTGGTAGTAACGCTTGCCCAGTTGAGGACATCCCCGGGGGTAACGACATACCCAAGGGCATGAGGTGGTTGCCCATGGCTGAGCTGGAGGATGAAGGAGTTGCAGCAAGAAGTTGGGCAACCGTGGGTTCACGATGCATCTGCTGATGCTGA